TAGTTTGGTGCAAATTACATTAATGGCCCACCCACGTTTTTCTTAATGTCAATTGATATAGAATCGAAGAACTGATTATTATTTGTTATAAATATTAAATACCCTTACCGCTGATGACTTAAGTTTCAAACCAGCTGTATATATGTGTATAATATATTTAGGGGGAGCCTGCGGCGGTAGACCACTAACAATGGACTAAGTTAGACTATCATATCAATTGTTGAGATATACTAGAAAAAATCTGTATAGCGACAGAATTGGTATGAAAATTTTGTTGCTAATTTCATTCTCGCTACTACTTTCTGTCGCAAATTCCCTTACAAAACCGCAAATTCTCTCGCAAACGATTTTGCGAAGGAATTTGTTGCAAAAAGTAGTGGTGAGGATGAAATTAGAGACGGAATTTTCATAATAATTCCGTCGCTATACAGATTTTTTCTAGTAGCGATATTCAAGTATAATGAATTTCACATTAATTGATAATGAGCTAAGTGAAATGGATATGAGTGAATAGATCTATGAACCCAATACCTTAAAATTTTGGGTTGAGACATGGTGTCAGACCATCTTGATATGGTGGTGTAGCCTTAATCCATTAGTGGTAATTTCCCACCCTGAGCTCCTTTTAGACCTGCCTAACAAGGTCTTCTATATTAATTGTTACGATGGTTTATATATGAGAAATAAATTTAAACTAGATGTCCTCTTTCTTTGAAAGATATGTAGGACCATTCACACTATCTGCGCTACGTACGAGTATGGGACTTTCATACTCCTATAGCTTCTAGCCACTATTACCTAATTAAGCTCCTGTGATGCAATTTGGGAGTAATTTATTTTAGATAGAACGTAAAATAATGGCTATTCAAGATGTATATCGAGAGACCATGTGACATTCGTACGTGAAAACAAATGCAATTACGAATATTTCTATATGTCTTAGACGGATAAAATATTCCCTAAAAAAATGCCGATAACTATAAATGCTCGAGCTGGCTTGAATACGCTAATCTTTGAATTTGATCGTATAATTCATATATGCAATTCACTAGGGCAGCAGTCTTGTTAAAGCAAATAACATTCGACTCTCACTTTATAGTTTATATCTAACTGCATGCACGCATTATGAGCAATACACAGACACACTCATATATATATATAAGTTAATTATACTCTTAATCGTGGTTGTTAATTCACCTACATTTAACAGTTTACTGGATTAATAGTGTACCTGACTATTCCAGTTGGAGCCGAACAAGGTCACAAGAGCAACAAAACTCTCCTTACTAAATTTTTAACGCAATTATATATTCATATAGTTCGAACTTGAAATCACTAATTAATTAAGAACAATATATCCTCTCCCAGAGAATCCATGTGTTTGGTAGTTATAAATCAACAATTAAAAATTGAATATAACATTCATTGTTGAAATTAATTTGTACCCTATGATAATATGGGAGCATATGACATGATAGTTAAAATAGCTACATGATTGCAAATAAGTATAGAAGCTGACCACACGATCTCAGTGATCTATTCATCATTAAAGGTCTACTAAAATTTTACTGTTTAGTTGATTGTGTACTTGTGTTTAATCCAGCTAAGGAGGAGAAAGGGTTCGCAACTTCGCATCAGGGCACCCTCATGCATGATAGCAGTTTCTGTGACGCGTCTTTCGATCTGAGAACCAAATTATTGAAATGTTCTCCTCTTTTTTCATTATTGTATGCTGCAAAAGATAGAACTCATCCTCATCAAGAGATTGCAGCTAACGTTAGACACGTCGGAGCGATACTACGAAACAAATTGCATACGTGCTGTAGCATTAATTTTCCATACACCTCAATATATATCATTGGTTAATATTTCATATGTTTTAAGAGATAAATTTATCTATTATACATATATAAAAATACATGAGATTCATATGAACCCAAGTGAGAAAAAGAGAAAAAATAAAAAAAACAAGTCTCACATACTTATATATGTATATATAGAAGGATGGATATATTCTTACTAATAAAAATATTCACTATATCAACTCATTACCTATTAATCACCATTGAATCTGTACTTCCTATGCAGTCTTATCTTATCTTATCCAATAATAATTAAATAGATAATAAATTTTTTTGATAGTAAAATATTTCTGCGTATAAGAAATAAATTTATTTCCTATATCATAATAAACAATAAATCTATATATCATAGTGCTTAAAACAAAAAGATGTGATAGTCAAAACAATGGTCAAAGATGATGGCACGGTGGGGATGCATCTAATAAGCGCCGAAAGGTGCAGAGGACAGTCATCATCCTACGAGGGTTTAATGAGAGACAAGGAAAAACACATTATTTTTATTTTTATTTTTTGGCGATCCCTTCTATTCCCTCCTTTTCTGTTTCCATTTTTTTGTTTTGAATTTTTGAACTAAGTCTCTAAACTGAAGTCCAGTTGTAACTAGTCTAAAAGGAAGGGACCCATCTCCAAAAGTTCACAACCACACTAACAATATATGGTTTATGTTTCTGTCCCATGTGTATCATGATCAAGCTAGTTACACTTGCTTTCTTTTTTCACTTTTGAATTTCGATTATCCAACTTTTGGTCAAACATTGTGCTCCCTCATAATTAGTGGCCCCTGACTTACCTTTCTAATGTAAATAGTACTGAAGCATATAGGACCAACTATTGCAGCTCTCCTCATGAAGTTTGAGTTGTAGTATATACGTCGTTGAATTGGGTAGATTGGTCATAAGGATCATGAGAATGAGGAAAAGTGATAATAATTTACTCATTTTAGAAGAACAAAAGTGCAGCAAAAAAGAAAACATAACCTACAGAAAAATTTATATTTACTCTACCCAAATCATGTTTATAATAAGCTGCCTAGCTAAATTGTCAAAAAATTGTATAGATCTATGCATAAGAGCTTGTAGTTGTGTTCCTTTGTTCTCTTAAACATAAAGGTTGTTTTTATCTCATTTTACATGAGATAAATAACTTTCTTATACGGAAAAAGAAGTTGAGTCCCACCATTCTTTTTTCTCTCTTCTCTTATTTGTGAGTTTCACTTATATTTTTATTTCTACAACATGAATTAATTTTTTTCCTACAACATAAGAAAAATATATCATTAAACATAAACTATCCACAAGAGTAAAAGATAAAGAAAGACATTCTAAAGGCCTTTTTTTCTCGGTAAATCATGTTAATGGACTTTATTATTTGTCCAACATGTAATATATATATATATATATATATATATATGAAAATTATTTTCTCTTTACACATGAGAATTTTTTTAATTTCTGCGAACTGATAATATAAATGGAGTCCCTGAAGTAGTGAAAACCGAAAAAAATTTAAGGTAAGTCTCACCTATCATTGTATATGCAGAAATCAAAAAAAAAAAAAAAATTATGTGAATGAAGAAAATAATTCCATATATATACCATGTTCAGGGAAAATGAAAATAAAGAATCTGTTATAATATTTTTTTTATTTTATTATCTAAAAAGTGATGTAATAATATGATTAATTCGTATTAGATTTTTAAACAATGATTTTTTTTTTTTGGGGGGGGGGGGGGTAATGGGGAAATAATGGCTTTGTTTAACGTGTATATTGTATTACGCCGACTTTTTTTGGGGTGGACTGTTATTACGCCACACCTAAACTCAGTTCAAGGTGTACCATCTCTGACGTCTTTCTTGAACGATGACTATGTTCGCACTATTTGATTAATTTTTTTATAATTTAAGTAGAAAATGGCGTCATAAAATTAAACTGAACCATTTAAGTAAAATGAATACATCCAATCATGCACCATTATGTTATGGGTTTCTGATTACTAGATTAAGAACAATATGTATTCAAATTATCATTAGAAATTAATCCCAAGATTCGCAGTTTATTCTTGCTTTTACCTTAATATTATATAGTTATATTATTATTTAGGACTTTATTTCTCTCATATAATAAAAGATAGATTATTTTATATTATGAGATAAATAAAATAAGGTCCACCCATTTTTTTTAAAAAAAAATAAATCTTTTTATGTGAGTGTAATATAAAAAATAAATCTCATACAATATGAAAATATAATTTTCCTATTATTTAATATCAATTTTTGTTCATTCGTTAAAGTAAAAGAATACACTAACAATTAGCTCCTCTCATAAATTTTTTTTTTAAAAAAAAGAAGAAATATGCAACATTCTTAAAAGAAACATTTTTTTAATTATTTCCTAGTAAAAAGTAAAAGGCAATGACTGTGACTCTGAGAAAAGTACAGAGGGGTGTGCTTGCATGTGAAACAAAGTCCAGCCGAAAGATAAAAGAGATGTCCACTCACAATAAACGCCAGAGTACAATAAACATGAAATCGGGTACAAAGGTGTGTCCCTTGATGCGTCATACAGGACATTGTGATATATTACAGTTTTCTTAAGAGAATTTAAAAAGCACCTGTTAAGCAAAGATGCACTTTAAACATTATAAATTAATTTTTATTTTTTAAACAAAATAATCTACTACTCCCAGTCTCCCACACCCAATTTGATACGAATTTAGCTAAATAAGTTAAGACATCCCAAAGGTACGCCAAGAGTATAAGCATTAAATACCTTTCACATAGATGGTAAGTTGATACAAAAGCATCTCTTTCCCATTATAATCTTAAATCACGTCAGTATATTAACAGGTACAACAAAAAGCTTAAAAGGCGAAAATGAAATATATATATATATATATATATAAAATAAAAAAAAAGGAAATTGAAGACTTAACAAAGGAACTTTGAGTTAGTACAGTGTCAGCTAGCTAGCTACGGTCTCATGAATTATGATTGTCAGTCCAACTCATAATATACTCATCTAAAAAGACTAGTCCTTCCTGTCTTGCATTGCATGCTAAAACAACCATTCAGTATTCTCACCATTGTCCTTCACCTTTCATCATTATTATTATATGCACAGATTCTCACCCCACCTTGTGCATGATCTCATTCCATGCCAAATATTGGCGTTTGAAAGAGACTTGGTTTTGCATGTGTTTGGAATGTGTGCAGGTTAGGTCCAATCCAGTTTCCATAACCAGGGTTGTTCTCATAACTACTGTTACTATTTAAAGAAAATATGGGCGTGGCGAATGGGATTGAACTTGAAGAAGAACCACCACCACTGCTTCCACTTTGTTGCTGAACAAAGATGCCTCCACTGAAAAACGCGGCATTGTTATCACTGCTGGTATTTGAGGGGGCATTAGAGAACTCCATGTGGAAGGGTGTGGTATTGGAACACTGCAATGCAGTGCCAATGTTGGAAGATGGAAAATAAGTTGTATTAGTAGTAGCAGTAACACTAGTGTTAGTGTTCTTTATGGCACTGTCAAGGGGAGGATTGTGATACCCGAGAATGGACCAGTAATCTGAAGAAGGGTCTTGCTTTATCGGTATGGCAAAGCTAAGGGTAGAGCTTGAAGGTTGTTGCGATGCAAAGGTCACAGATGAAGATGAAGATGAAGATGGATCTCGTTCATCTGATCGACTTGCCTCATGGCTTCTGCCATCAGATAGAGAATCTGTGGAGTTTTTGTTCTTGCTAGATAAACCACCAATTGGAAGGGTGCTACTTGCAATGCTCTTAACGTCGTAGCGACTCATGTCAAAGTTTGTGACTGCATTTAGTCCTCTGAATTTGATAGCTGCAATGTCATAGGCCTCCGCAGCTTCTTCTTGAGTGCCTAATTTTTAATTCAAAAAAAAAAATGTTCATTTTATGAATATGTTATTATCAAATCATAAACTATTAAAAAATATATTAAATGGGTCATTATCTGTATAGATTATATTTTGTATGTCAAGTAGAAAAAGAGCATCTTATTTTCTTTTCAAATGATCAGGACGTATAGAATAATAGAAAGCAACAAAATAAAATAAAATAATTGATGTCAAAATAAGAAAGATATGGATCACACTCACTGAAAGTTCCAAGATAGAGGTCTTTGTTTCCGGCTACTCTGCCTATCCTTGCCTGCCATCGGCCATGCTGGTGGTGCCTGAAACAAAGGTTTTAAGCCCCAAATATAATGTTATTTTATTCATTCAGAGAATCAAATTAAAGATATATGCTAACGGCCAAAAGGAAAGAAAATGAGGCCACATGAAGTTAAAACTTAGAGAAAGTACAAGATAGACATGTACCTTGTCACTCCTCTGTACATAGAGGCCCCTCTAGAGAAACCACTGCTCTTCCTACATAATATGGAGGATAACAAACTTGTCCATAAAACTATTCACATAACTCTAATAATACCCAGATAATTCGTTGAACCATAAAAATAATTAAGTATACAAAAAATTTAAAACTAGAAAGTAAATATATTATACCTTCGTAGAGAAGCAACAAACTCTTGCCTTGTCATGTTCTTCATGTCCTCCAGTTCCTTCTCATAGTTGGAAATCTGCGAAATGAGAAGGAAAAATAAGCATACATTGATCAACTCGGAAAGTGTTGAGAAAATACTAGAGATAAAGAGTTGCATACAACAAAAAATAACACATTTGACAAAATGAAATGGATCATTAATTAATCTACAACTTACTGAAAAGTTGGTGGTTGTTGTTGGACCCCAGTACTTGAGAGCTGCGAGATCATAAGCTCTGGCTGCCTTCTCTTCCTTGTCGTAGCCACCTATTAACACATTGAAAGGAAGAAGAAACAAAAAAGCAAATTTTTTGAGAAAAATGATTTTAACTTGAGAAGAAGAATCTGAATCTAACAGCAAAATGATGATTTATGCTTTGTGACGGTAAAACAAGATGATGATTAAGTGAATGGCTAAACCGTGCATTTTGCAAAGTAAACTCACCCAAATAAACTGAAAGCACATAATGAGCAAAGGATATCCCCACGGGTCAGCAATCATTCGCAAGGTACAAAAGCAACGCAAAGAAACAAAAGAAAGCACGGTCAGAATCTTCAGCAACACCAGAACCGAACCCATTCACAATAATAATAATAATAATGAAGGAATAAATAAACGCACGCACTATGCCACTGTTGCACTATAGTCCTAGAACTTAAATAGACACAACACTACACACACTGCTAGCAAAACGCCAAAAAAAAAAAAAAAGCAATCTAGTGGTGCTGCGACCAGGCAGAGAAATCTGAACCCTTGAGAAGGGTGCGCGTTGGGATTTGAACCACGAGCCACATTCTTTTACTCCCATTTATTCCGGTTACATTCGGTTGGACCGTTCTCACACTCACTCAGTGGTTCAGTCTCATATCTCGTCGACCCGGTTCGGCGCACGTTAGATACAACCCCTCTTTCATAACAAAAAATAAAAATAAATAAAAGTAAAAAAAACCCTTATTACCTTGTCTTCCTTTCCTGCTTTGCCCTTCCCTTCTGCAACTGTTATCCCATAAATGAGCTTCGTATCTCCCAGTCCATCTGTGTCTGAAAATAAGAACCAAAATAAAATTAATTTTAAATATATTTTTTTTGGTTATCGAAAAATAGTAGTGATAAAAAAAATTTGAGAATACCGAGTGACGCCGCGGTAGATGGAGGTGCGTTGGCCGAAGGTGTCGACGGTTTTCTTGGAGGATGGCTTTTGTGACTCGGTGATTGCTTCGGCGGCGAAGCCGCGAGGGAAGCATGCGGCTATTGTTGTCTTCAGCTCCGAATCGTATATGTCGTTGTCGGTTGAGAACTGCGGAAGCTGTGGCGGTGCACACGTGGCGGCTGTTGTGGTTGAGCCGCCAAGGAAGTCCTCGAACTTGGGTACGCCGGTGAATATAGAGAGGTTGGTTGCTCCTCCGGCGGTGCAGTCTGTTGCCTCCGGTGATGCGTCCACCGTGTTGCTGCCTGGAAAATGAGTTTGTAGATCATTTAGAGAGAGAAACTAAAGCATAAAATAATATATGTTTTACAGAGAGAGAGAGAGAGAGAGAGGGACCTGTGAGTGTGAGAGATGGTGTGGTGGAAGGATAGGTGAAGGAGTTGAAAAGGGAGAGATGAGAGGAAGAGTGTGAAGATGAAGGATTATGAAAGTGATTGGAAAGAGAGAAACCAAGTGAGTTGTTGTTGTTGTTGTTGTTGTTGTGCGGCGAAGAGGATGAGTCCATAGTTGTTGTTGTTCTTTGTTTGGCTGTTATATGTGTCGTCGATGAACGTGAAAGTAAGATTATGGCGTTGAACTTTGGTTGGTTTCTTTGGAAACTGCGATCTTATAGAATCTATCTGAGAAACATAGAGAGAGAGAGAGAGAGAGAGATGATGATGATGAGAATGCAAAGAAGGGTTGAAGAAAGAGTGTGGGATTGTGACACAGATATAGAGGTGGTCTAAGAGAGAGAGAGAGAGAAAGAGACTCAGCTCAGCTGCTATTTAGGGTTGCACGATAAACGAGGTTCTTTCTCTTCATATGGGTGTAAAATATCCCACACATCAATAATATTTCTTTACTGAAATTCCTATCATTTATATTTTCTTTTTATAGAAAAAAAATAGAGAAAATGTATCAATATCATTTTATATTATATACGAATGCAGAACGCCCATGCCTTGTATGCATGTGTATATCTTTCTTAATATATCCATAAAATAATCTTAGCTCTAGTAGTAACCGACAAATATTTAGCCTTTATTCAAATTTCGGTATCTATATAGTTTCCATTGTCAATTATGTTATGTATATGATAATAATAATAATACTTTATGAGAAACTATTATAAGACTGAAAGCTTTTATATAGGAAGAATGGGCGGTAGCGCACGCACCGTCTTCGCCCAATATTAGAAAGCATTGCTTAGGACGGATATAGAGAGAGATTTGGATGGCAAGCAAATACGCAATGAAAGTATGGGTATGTGAGATATATTTAAAGGGACAATTAATTTAGCATAGAGAGAAAGATCATATAGTAAACAATCATTAATAGATTAATTACACAAATAATATACGAATGTAAAGGAATTATACATGTGTATAATATATGATCATGTATTATCTAATAGTAGTATGTAGTGTATGATAGTAGGGAAGCAAGACGGAAGAAGAGGGGACAAGGTGACCCATCACCCATATCTGGGCGAGTATCGAAACATTACTTAAGTCCTTAAAAGAAAAATGAACATGGTCCTTCTATTCATTTATTAGAATGAAAGTTTTTTTATACACCACTTCGAATTTCCTTCCAAAAACCGAAAAGCACAGTTAAGTTATCATTTTTTATCCAAAAACCCCGTACCCAAACCGAAACCACGGGCACAGAACTGAGGGACTTTGTAAATTAAGACATATAAATGTGGTGGCTACGGTCTCTATGTGGATAAATGGTTTAAATCACAGCCCCTACGGTCACGTTTTCACCCTAATCGCCGCTGCTTTCTTTTCTTTTTTTCTCTTTGCTTTGTGCCTTTTGAAGCACACCGGCACCTCTTCGCGCCAAATCTCTTCCACAATCCCTTCTATTTCCATTTTTCATCCCTTTTTTTTTACTTTTGAGTCATAATTTTCTTTTTTCCTTTTGACGAAGATTGTTAAAGAAAATTTAAAGCGCATAGTTAAAATTTATAAACATTTTACAAAATAACTTTTATATATATAAAATGGGTTTGGTGTTCGTCATTTTAAATGACATAAGTTATGTCATTTTAAGAGAGAAATAGACACAGAATAAAAATCATGAGAAAGAAAGTGAGAGTTTTTTTATTTAAATTTTAAATAAAAATATATAATTTTGTATTTATCTCTCTCTTAAAATAATATAACTTTATGTTATTTATAATGACAAACACTTTTTTCATATAATATTATTTTACAAAAATGTTAGAATGGTATAAAATAATTATTTTCAATAAACGAATCTTAAATAAAAAAATTGTTATGTTTTGTCAATTATGAGTTTACTTTTCGGTTTTGTATTGTTTCGTTTTTAATTATGTTTAATTATCCAAGGTGTTTCGTGTAAGGAAGCATACGGAGAGGAAATAATTTTTCAATAGCTGATCACTAAAAGAAAAGAATAAATGGCTAATGAAGAATGTGTAGACCTTCAATAATTTGATATGATCTATTGAAGTCAACACTAGTTATTATGCTAATTTTCGTTTTTTATTTATACGTATAGTTATAGTTTAAAAATATAAAGTTTAAATACCTTAATTAACCTCTATAAGAAAAAAATAATAATTAATACTCAAAATATAAAATATAATGTGTAAATAATATAAAAATAATAATAACAATATTTTCAAATTTGTAAATTGATTCAACCCAGCATGTTGTGTGAGTCATAGAAGTCCTGCCAAAATATTTTAACAGATTATTAATTTGGGTGGGACGATTAAATTTTTCCTATTTTGATACCCGTGTACGGGACTGAGCACCAGATTTGGTACAGCTGTATTACTGTGCGTGCATGAAACTCTAAGGACACGTGTACAACATTTAATATTTAGATTAATTAAATTAGGACACGTGTCAAAAGGATCTCAAGATGCCATTTTGCATGTAATCCCTATCTGATTGATACATATAAAGCATGTCTGTATGCATGTGGAGGTAGCTTGGTTGATAGTTTTTTTTTTTTTTTTTCAATTATATTAATTAATAGAATAGAGAGACAGAGTGATGTGTATAAATTATCATATGGATGCCTGGTAATGTTGCAGAGCCACCCTGCCTCCCTATTGCTAAGGTATGGCCACCACTGGCATTCATATATCATTACTACAGCCATGGACCTAGGACAATAAATTCATCCTTTATTGCTATTAAATAAAGGTTATATATATCAAAATAATTAAAATGGAACCATATGTTTTATGGAACTTTTCTTGTTTCTGAAAACATATATATCTCCTAGGCAAAAACAATATTAACAATACATATTTGTTATTAGTTAACACATTACGCATTACTAGATGAAAGTAACATCAGATTATTTAATGAGATTATTATGAAAGTTTTCTTAATAATAGAGTGTATATGTAGAAAAAAATATTAAAGGGAATGAAAAGAATCAAAGATACTCAAAAGAAAATCTAAAGCAGGACTCTCACTAATTAAGGAAATCAAAAGAATCTAAAGAACTCGTGTTCTACATACAAAAGAGGCTACTCCAATATATTACTTATCAAAACTTTTAAATAAAAAGCTCTTGTTCATTCAATAAATCATCATCTTATTGAAAAATAAAATATCATCTACATAAAGTACTAAGAATATATATCTACTCCCACTTACTTTCATGTATATGCACTGATCAAATGTATTTAAATTAATTTAAAGGAATCAACAAAAAGTTCAATGCATGTTAAGGCAAAAGGAATGTAATAGAATAAATTATAGGGCAAAATCCAATTTCAATTAAGACAAATTATTACAACGAGGTCAACAAAACAGTACATCTCCCTTTGAGCAGAATGCACATACCAAGGTTAAAGCCTCAGATGAATCAATTAATGAGCATACACTAACTTCAGAGATTTGTCCCCTTTAGGCAGATAGATCATCTAAACCAATGCACCCCCAATAACTTTATTACATATAAGCTTCCAATTAAAACACACAATAATCCCTTTTGGACAGGAAATTGCATGAAACAACTAGAAGTAGTCTACAAAGAAATTTTTATGACTAATAAATCAATCTCGCTTTGGTGGTAATCACTTATGGTAATTTGTAGAAACTTTTACAAATCTTGCCCAAAATCATGTTACAGGTAATAAGAAGGTGAAAAATATCCCATTGTATTTTAAAATTAACCGGGTTAATGGATATTCCAAAATTATTATTGTAACTAGCCCATTATGATCACATTGAATTGAGCTTCTGGCATCTGTTATCATTGGGTCTAGTTGGGAAGCAGTGTAGGCCATTGTTGTCAAAAACTAGTGTAAAAACGTAAGTTTTTACGTTTTTACTTGAGTGATGCGTGTTAAAACGCAAGTAAAAACAGTCATTGATAAAAACTAGTAAAAACACCGTGTAAAAACATAAAAACGATAAAAACTTACGTTTTTACCATTTTGACCGTTTTTACTTAAAACGAAAAAATTTTACAAAAAAAGATTTACAAAAAAGAAATTAAAAAAAAATCCAATTGTCATTTCCCCCAAATCATATGCATAGTATCTTGATATCTTTTTGTTTGGATATATGTCTTTTACAATTATGTCTTATAAAGCTGCAATTAATTATATTATAAGTTATGCTATAAGAATCGTTTTGTGTTTTTGGATCATTGTGTCCATTGATAGAAATGGAATTATATCCTAATGAGCGATGATCCTAAATCTGCAGAGTGTATGAATCAGTTAGAGCATATTAATTATCCATTATTTGTTAGTTATCACTGTTTATAAATTTGATACTTGGTTATCAAAATTAATTTTCCTTTTTAGATAGATAAGTGGCTCAACATACATGTTCATTATGTAATATATTTTTTACATGCATATATATAATTTTGTATCTGGACCTTAAGTAGTAGAAAGTAGAAACTTTACGTTTCTTGTCGTTTCTACGTTTTACGTTTCTACCACTCATTTTCGTTTCTACGTAGAAACTCGAGTTTGACAACATTGGTGTAGGCTTTAGTGTAATCCTGATTTTTCATGATGGGTGGATACAGACTCTTCTCTGGGTTATTAGCTAGGTCCCCTCTCTAGTCTATTTATATTGTAGTTAAACTCCATAAGCCATCATGCTCTCATCGATCAGGCTACCTTTATTGAAATAGGTGATATAGAGGAAAATCTGGTATGTATAGTCCTTTCTTTTTTTCGGCTTTGTGATGATCCAACAAGGTAAGCACAATCCCAACTCTGATTTAATATTGTTTGGTATTTTATAATTATATACATGATTTAGGGATAAAATAATTCTAGCAATTTTGACATTATAAAATTTTAAAATTAAAGAACATTTTATGATATATATTAAGGGTTTTAGAATTCTCATTTAACATGAGAATTTGAATTTTCCTACACACACTTCGATTTCTGTGCCAACATGGGTCTACACATAATTTTTTCTAACATACGGGTCCCACATACTTTTTGTCTCTACAACATGAGAATTCAATTCTCATGTTGAATGAGAAATATAAAACCCATATATTAAACACATTATAAAAAAGGTATATATTAATTTAAGTTGAGAATTT